GGGGAGGACGCAATAAATGCCCGGCTTTGGAGGCATTTATTGCCTTTCAATTCCGAGCCTTACCGTATTGAATGTAGTCTCATCAAGGGAATGACGTAATTAAATATTTGTTTTTCCAAGTCGCGTGTCAGCAAGGCCATACGATTTTTCTGTCTCTGATGTGACACAATATTCCACGCGTCTATTCCTCATTGGCTGTGGCCCCTACCTTCCTGTGCCTTCTAACATCGATTGTGTAAGACGAGGTCATGATAGCTAACCTAGCCTAGCTTAGGCTAGTGACCAGTGCATCAATAGCCTCTGCTGGAGCAGAGAACTTCATCTTGGATTGGAGGGAGAGGTACACCTCAGAGCTGAGGAAGAGGTACATCTCGGAGCCGAGGAAGAGGTATATCTCGGAACCGAGGAATAGGTACATCTTGAATCCGAGGGGGGACGCCTAGCGATCGATGTACCATATCAGACCGAGGGTACGTGTCGGTACATAAAAACGTACTGTATGCCACTCGATCCCATGATAAGTATCTCGGGGTAAAGGGGACTTATGACCCGATGGGTACGTGATCTCGATAATAAGGATCAATGATACTGAGGACACGTGTCTTCATCTTGGAGTATTCCGAAAATGTCTCATCAATTGCTACCTATTTAAAAGTAGGGTAAAATAATTAGATTTCAAATCAAAATAAACCCAAAATTGGTTTTTAACTATACAACTCTTATTCCTTTGGTACGATTAAAAATTGTGATAGAGATAGATAAAATATTATATTTGATAAAAAAAAATAAGAATGATAAAAAAGTAGTTGAATTAGTTTTTCTTTTAACTCATCGACCACTCTTCACAGATCATATTTCATTTATAAAATTTTAAATATTTGAATAAATTTGATTTTAATTTGATAAAATTAAATATTAATTTAGTATTGATTTATAAAATTTAATGTTAATTGAATAAATTTGAATGTTACTTTAATGAATTAAATGTTCATTTGATGTTAAATTAAAAAAATGACATTAATTTAATAAAGTTAAATTGATAAATTAATAGCATTTAATATTATATTTAATAAATTAAATTACTATTTTTATATCTAAAAAATTAATTAATTTTTCAAAATTATTTAATCCTATTGATGGAAGACTTCAGCATGAAAAAATTTCCCTTCAATGGGGAGACCCAGCCGAAATGGTGGTCACATTCGATACTGCATTCACTCCTTTTGTCACACGTGGTTGCAAAATGGTGATCAAATGTGGGTATTTAAGATTGTAGCATATATATATATATATATAAGTTAAATTGTAATTTTAATTTAGAGGGAGAATAAAAATAAAATAGTCCTTCTATGATCGTGAACGTAAATTATTGAACCATATAAATTTTTATATTCTTTTTTTTATTATTTTATTTTATTTATTATTTGTCACACACACAAATCACAACATAATTTAATAAATAGAACAATATTGGGGATAAGTACAACGTAGTGCTGTCCTGTTTCAATCAGTAAGGAAATAGACAGGGGACACGTGGAAGGTCTTGCATGTCCCCTTCAATGTCTCCCGTCAACTCACGCAATAAGACCTGTGTTATCTCTTTCTCATTGACCCCCATTTCGGCAGTGGAAACTAATCTAAGCCGAAATGGCATTCACATCGTCGTAAAAAGATGAGTAAGATAAGTCTTTACTTTTTGATAATAAATAATCCATCAAGAAAAGAACTAAACGGAAAAAATATCTGATAGAATCTAAACTCGTAAAAAAAATATATATATATTTCTACCCAACCTATTTCAGCCCTTTCTGCTCGAACTCTTCAACCCCATATATGAAGAGTTTTGGAACATATTCCTATGCGGATCACTTAATAATATGTGATCCGATGTTCAAAAATGTCCGTCACAATCCTCATGTACTCAGCACATGAGATTTTTCTTCACTTTTTTTTCACGGAAGTTAGCGTGGGACAACACAAGCTGCATGTGTGAACATGGAGGATTGAATTGACAAAATTTTGGAAGAATCTAGTCTTGATTAGCAATGAAGAGGTATGGGTTGAATGAGATTTTCAAGTTTGGGAGAGAAATTGTTTGATAATGATTTTAAGCTATTAGATCGAACGAATCTCAAACACTCTTGTATTAAGCTAAGTTTAGGGATCCAAAATACATCATGTTCTATTATATAGATAGTCATTGCTCGAGAGAATAATAATTAATAAAGTAATAAAAATAATAAACAAGAGAACTCCGTTAGATATTAATGGGACGGATTTATCCGATAATCTAAATCAATCCACACTATATTTTTCTTTAATTTTCTTCAAGTGATATCAATCACTAATTTATGTAGAAACCATTAATAATGAGTAGAAGACTCTGACCATATATGATGGATAATTTACCCTTAAATAAAATTCAAACCGAATTCTTCGGTCAAACGAATATTTTACAGGTAGTCATCTTTTGCACCGTAGACTAAATTTCTAAATTTCGTCAAATATTAGGTTGTGGACTTGAAGTCATCTTCTGCACAAAACATGATGGATTGTACGTCATAGAAAACTGGGAATTCCACTTATGTGCGTGTGTGTGTATATATATATATATATATGAATCTAACTATGGTACTGAAAAAAAGAATTGGTGGCGTACATTTAAATTTTGCTATTTTAATGAGTGAAGAGAAAACAATTTAAAATTGATCATTTTTTATGACACAAGTTCTCAGTAATTTTTTTGGTAATTGTGTGTTGATCAATTTGTTTTGGGTGAAGATATATTAGTATTTGTATCTATTCACATGTTATTATGTTCCGAGTCATTAACTTATCAAAAAATAGTCATGAGAGATAACTGTACATATACTTTATAAAAAAGAAGTATATTAAATAACCAATGTATTGTTTTTGCATGACTATTGGACTCCTCAAAACATTTTTGTTAACTCTAAGGATAATTCAAGTAGTAACAGAAATGAGCTATAAAATCAGACATTTTGAATTCGAATCTTAAAAATTCTTTGGTGCTATGATATAAGTGTTGGGATTTCACACGATTTAAATCCACTAACAAACACACACAATCGAAGAACAAATCAAAAATATAAAGCAATAAGAAACAAGAAAGAACAAGACACAGATTTTACGTGGTTCGGCAATTTGCCTACGTCCACGAAGCTGCAGGAATTTCACTATTAAGTGAGTTGAATACAGAGAGCGGCTGTACAATCCACAATTAACCCTAATTACCAAAATAACAGGGTTTATATGTCCTACGCACTGGGCTGTATAAAGGGCCCAGAAAAATTTTCCTCGGGGGCGTTGCCCCCAAACCCCCACGAGGCTTGTCCATGAGCGCTACGGCTTGGACCTATCGGCCCAAGCCTTCGCTCCATGGACTAAGTCTCAGAAAATTTTCCATTAAAAACCACACAACATTATTTGGGGTCGGGTCATCATCCGGACAGCATATACAAACTAGACTCCATAAAAAAAAACCAACAATAAGGGATCTATCATTTATAAATACTCTAGTTCTAAAGTGATTTGCCTGTCTTTTATCGGACCAGATAGGAGATTAATCGAGATACACATAAGTTGACTCGGACACTTGTAAACGTGGAACAAAAAAAAAATTGTGGTTCATGAACAGCATTGTCCTAATAAATTGCATGCTACCAATGTTTTTTACCCTCTCGATTTTTTCCCTTCCAAATGTCCTAATAAATAACAACCCGACCCCAAATCTTTGCCCTCCTTCCGAATCCAGCGTAATAAATTGCATTAATTTAGGGCCAGCTCGATAAAAATTGGGGGACCGACCTAATCAATAGTTTTAAATATGGACTTCCAAAATTTGATTATAAATATATAGTAGGACAAATTATACTTTACACTTGAAAGATTCAAGAATTCTCATTTTGTACCCTTAAAGATCAAAATTTTCTTATTATATCCTCAATGCAAATTGTGGTTTTTCTGTTAACTTTCGTTCCTCGTTCCGTTGACATGAATGGGGTGATTTTACCCAAACTGAGTAATTTTTTATTTATTTGTTGGTTGGATTGGGTACAAAAATTGGTGAAAGTAGCTCTTCAACCCCAGCTGTACTGAAACTGGGCTTGATTGACTCTCTTTTGAGGTTTTGTCATGTATGGGCTATAGCCCTTAGGCCCAAAGTCTAAAACCTGGACCTGTATTGGACTTGACCTCTATTCCTAGTGAGAGCACCCATCTAGATCCACAGACTTATTCATAACCATGACTCCGGGCTTTATTTATTTATTTTGAACAGCAGATAGAGAGATGACGAGGTTCGAAATCGTGAGTTTAAGATTGCACAAAATATTTGTTCATTTATCAACCGAACCAAACTCCTCCTCAGTTTATTGTTCGTTTAATGAAGCTGTTGAATCACAACAATGATTTGTTTAGTTCATTATACTTCTAAATAAGTACATTTAGTGTTTAATAAATTTATATCTAAACAAGTTGAATTTGTTCTTGAATTCAATTGGTCTTAACTTGAACAAATAATTGACCTTAGTTCATTGAAATAACTGAGAGAAGCTCGAGATTAGACAAAATACTACATCTACCGAGAAGCTTGCCTTGATTTGACTCAATTATTAGTCCTATTCAATTCGTTGATCTATATTTAGATGTATTTGATTGTTGACTCAATTATATGTATATCTATATATATCTATACTACTATAAAATGTCAACACAAATGAAAAATATTTGATTAACTGTAATAACTCAAACAAAACATCTAATGTCAGCCCAAACGGGTCTAATATATGTTATAAAATAGAGTGATGATTTGAGGAAATTAAGTTAAAATTATGATGTAATTAAGTAAAATAAAGTTATAATTAAGTTACTCAGGTCAAAAAGAATTTTTTTAAAAAATTTATATATAAGAGATCTGTCGAAATAATCAACTTAGATTCAGATCAAAGTTTCTAGAACATATTCCAAATTCAAATCCGTCAATTTCCACCTGTTAACTGTCTTCCTTGACCAAGCCTTGTACAGCAACTGCCCTTAATTGTCTGGTCACATTCATGTGTCAATCGAGTAAATATTATGTCATATTCAAGATGTATTATTTGTATTAATAAATATAAAATTCATTTTCTAACCGGTCCAACCCACTCACACCCCACCCAAGTCCCAACCATTTTAATGCATGTGGTCCTAAAGAGTGGGATGGAGAGAATATGACGATTATCCAGCTGAGAAGGTGGTGTATATTCAATGCTGTCGAGTCAATTCAGTCACGGAATTTTTCAAAAATTCCACTAACCCCCCCCCCCCCTCGGTTTTGAAAATTTTATGCTTCTCCTTGGGTTTGAAAAATCTTATTTTATACAGGTATTGTCACTTAATGTATCCAAAAAAAAACTATAATATTTTTGATATTTAATAACCAAATAAAGAATAAAATAAAATACAGGATTGTTACTTTTACAAACAAAGACACTAAGACACTTACTTGGATTAGTATGTATGATCACCAACGGAAAAACAAGTAAAATTATCACAAAATCCAGCTACAAATGTGATTTATCTACACATCATTATCTTTTTTCTTTTTTTTTTTTGAATTGTAACGACGTCATTATCACAAACTAATTCTTGCAATGGAAGAGATGGAATCAGGATCTTTATCTTTGCAGGACCAACTTGCAAATATGGTAAGGATCAAGAACTTCTTTTTCCTATATGTCATTTTTAGCTAATATATAAAACTTAGTAAAATCAACTTCTACACATTTTATTTATCTACAATAAATTAAAATATTAATTGAAACTCGTCAAATAATATGTAAAAGATTTCACAAAAATAAAGATTTTATAAAATAAAATTCATCTAATAATCAAATTAGATGGAAGTTTTTAAATTTGTCAACTTCGGCCTCTATGTTGCACATCTATAATTTTGTTGTGTTTGTATCATATTTGTATTAGTAACATACAATTCATTTTTGAATTAATTCTGTATTCAAATGAAACCCATTGTATTTAAGTGGGTCCCTAATTTATTTACGGTGAATGATGAATCAAAAATAAAATTAAAAAAAGAATTAATGTACTGTAGAGGATCTGAATCTATCCCAACCAACATAATGCATGTGGTCCAAACATTTGGGAACGAAATTGACACTTAAGCTGGTTTGTTTCCTTCTCTATAATAACGTCTTAAAAAAAAGTACAGTCGGTTACATAGATGGAGTCTTTCCCACCAACTTTGATCGGCTTGTACCCAATCTCAGTTTCAACAAATGAATTGATGAGCGACAGGCTGCACCAAATCCTGCAATCTTTCACTTATTCTTGAAGTCTCTATGCCAATTCTTGAATACAAAGCCTGCGAAATATTAATCCAACAAGTGATATTAATATTTATGAACACACATTATTAAATAAATGTATGAATTGCAATGTGGAACTGGCAGCTGAAACGATTTTAATTTTTGATTCAGGCAATGTGAAGTAATTCAAGTAGTTAAGAGGATAACGTAAAAATTTTAATAGTTCAGGGAATAAAGTAAAATCGATACCAAAGTATAATTTATCCTCCTATGTATTTCATGCAAACTTTACTATATATGAAATAGTAGTCATGAAGATTAATTTCGATGAGGCTGTTTTTGATTTGTAAGGAACTATTGGAATTAGAGTTGTAATCAGGGATGAATATGGGAGTTTTGTGGCGACTTCGTCCAAGAAAGACACACACATCTTTTGCAAGGACACACAGTTGTAAGGACATTTTTTTGGGAAGAAGACTCTACCACTATTATGAAGCTGATATCAGAGGCCGTGGGAAATTTCAATCCTATGGGCTCCATGTTAGAGACAAAAGAGTCGCTTCTCAATGTTTCAAAACTTCTCTGTTCCTAGAGTGGCTCATCTATTTGCTCGTAATGTTCTTACTATTGATAAAATTTATGTATGGGAGAAGATGACAGTAGATTTCTTAATGCCTCTCCACTTCTGTTATATTGATAATCAATAACATTATATCATGGCTTTAAAAAAAAAAATAGTAATTTTGAAATCATTAAGGGTTGTTCAGTAGCTGAGCTTGATTTTTGATAACTTAAAAATATCAGGTTCAACATTTTTCAACCCCCAAAGGAACAATCACCATTGTTCTTTAGGAGACATGTTCTAAACCCGTTATGACTATAATGACTAATATCTAAACTCGAGAAAATAGTCGGCACAAGCCTGAATAACTTTTAGTAAAAAAAAATAGCAGTCATGAGGTAAGGTATACTGGAAGAGAGGATAAACAGACCTGTGAATAAATGGAATAGAATGTCCTTGAACCCACAGTTGAGCAGCTAGCAGTCAGAACTTCAGCACCTTCTTCACGAAGAACACTGAAAATTTCATACAATAGGCAGTTCTGATTCACCCCAGTTATCAAATTTATCTCCAGAGCTGAACCCACCTCTCTAATAGCAAGTACTGGTAACATCAAGCTATCCCTCTGTTCTTCAATGACAGCTCTATCACCTTGGAGTTTTTCCCTTCTTTTCCTTAGTTCTTCCAAGCGCTGTTTCAGTTGCCTTATGTAAGAAGTGGATTGATCCAACAACGAAGGTAATGCCAGTCTCTCCTGAAATTCATACAGAGATCAATGCATACATATACATGAGTATAAGGTTATGGTTTTGGAGGGAGAAAAAGAAGTTTCTAGTACCAATAATCGGGAGGGATTTTCGATTCATGCATAATTGTGAGGAGAGTTATCGCACATTGAAAAATTATTTAAGTATCACTCTATACATCGTTAATTTGTTTTATGTTGAATGCTCTAACATAGTATTAGAGCTAGTGAAATTTTTTGGTCTCTTTATTTATCTATTCAGTTTTCATCCAGTTTATTCGTTTGTCAATTTCACTTGTTTTTTTGTCCACGTGTGAGTTTGAATCGCGCGTAAAGAACATTGTGAATAGGGTTATCCCGCATTGAATAAAAATATAATGCTAAAAAATTACTTTTCATTACTCTATGTAGCTACACCCTACATATAAACATGTGCCTGTATATACTAAAACACACACTCACAAACAAAAAGATATCCTAGAGTTGGAAGGTTGGGTTAATCACTTTGGTAGGTATGAGAGAGGCAAGCCTTGAAAAATGAGCTTTCATCTGCATTCTTCGTCCTCTTTCTATTTCATTTCGCCCAACTCTAGAAGCCCTCTGCCCCGGCTGCATATCTTCCCTAGCGTTTGTGTGGCTTCCTTATTTAGACAATGCAAATGTAAAAATACAAGGAAACTTTGTGTGAAGAGGAGGTCACTTGTGTCTACCATATATATATGCCACCACATGGCTCCACACGGAGAGAGAGAGAGAGAGAGAGAGAGAGAGTGAGTTGACATGACATACAAGTAAGGTTCATTGTATTGAGTAGGAACTTGGTGCATGAGAGTCAAAGCAATGACTACTAGAACGAACCGATTAAATAAATGTGACAGATGATACTGAGGTGGGGTTTGAAATCCTCTCTCTCTCTCTCTCAAATCGCAACATCTATGACTATGGACTCACACTGATTTTGTCATTGATTGATTGCTACTGCACCCTAACCACGAGGACCATGAATGTTGTTTTCATGATCACACAAATATCAGATGATTTAAATATCTTATAATTAAACTGCTTAAGAGATGTCATTTCTTACTCAAGTCATAAGTTCTAGTAAATAAGTTAATAAGACGAATCCCTTTTTTTATTTTACTTCACTAGAAGAAGAAACAATTTTTGCACAGTTACCGGCAACTAGACTATTTGAGTTAGTAAAAGGGGAAAGTAAATAATGGGCGAATCAAAAAAGTTGGTATGGATTAATTACCAACACAAAAGGATGACTTGTTCTCTTTACACTATGCAAGCAAAAATCTGCAAGAGTGTTGTGAATACCTTAGAGAATGACTCATCCACTGATTTATGGCATAGAAGGCTTGGACATATGAGTGAAAAAAGATTGCAAGTTTTGTCCAAGAAAGAGCTTCTAGTGGGGATAAAAGGTACGTCTTTGAAAACTTGTGTTCATTGTTTCCATGGTAAACAAAACAGAATATCATTCCGTAGAAACATTGCATCTAGAAAATCTCATGTTTTAGATTTGGTACATTCGGATGTATGTGGTCCTTTGAAAGTTAGGACACTTGGTGGTGCTCTATACTTTGTCACTTTTATTGATGATCACTCTAGAAAAGTTTGGGCTTATACACTGAAAACTAAAGATCAAGTTCTAGATGTGTTTAAGATTTTTCATGCCAAGGTTGAAAGAGAAACAGGTAGACAGTTGAAATGTGTTCGCTCGGATAATGGTGGTGAATATATTGGACCATTTGATCAGTATTGCACAAATCATGGTATCAGGCATGAAAAGACAGTTAAAAAGACACCTCAACAGAACGGGGTTGCAGAGAGAATGAATCGCACCATTCTTGAGAGAGTCAGATGTTTGCTCTCACATTCTAAATTGCCAAGATCCTTTTGGGGTGAGGCAATGAGGACCGCAGTTGATCTTATCAATTTGTCTCCTTCAGTTCCGTTGAATGGTGATGTGCCAGAGAAAGTTTGGACAGGGAAGGAAGTCTCCTATGATCACTTGAGGGTATTCGGCTGCAGAGCTTTTGTTCATATTCCAAAAGATGAAAGGTCCAACCTTGATCCAAAAGCAAAGCAATGCATATTTCTTGGCTATGGGCATGAAGAATTTGGATACAGGTTGTATGATACAGTTGACAAGAAAGTTGTCAGAAGCCGAGATGTTGTTTTCTTGGAAGATCAAACTATTAAAGACATCGACAAGCTTGAGTCTAGTACTGATGATCTTGTTGATTTAGATCCTCTCAATCCCTCTGATGTTCATGATATTGATGAGGAAGTGCAAACACCTCATGATGATGCAGCAGAAGATGATGTTGAGCCAGAGATTGAGGGGGAGCAACCACCCCAAGAGCCACTACCACAGACACCGTTAAGGAGATCTACTAGAGAAAAACAGCCATCCAGAAAATATTCTTCAAATGAGTATGTGATGATATCAGATCAGGGGGAGCCAGGGACTTATCAAGAAGTCTTGAAGCATGAGAACAAAACTGAATGGTTCAAGGCAATGAAAGAGGAAATAAAGTCTTTGCATGAGAATCACACCTATGATTTGGTGAAGCCGCCTAAAGGGAAGAAAATTTTGAAAAATAAATGGGTCTTCAGACGAAAGAATGATGGGAACAGTTCTCAACCGAGATTCAAGGCACGACTTGTCGTGAAAGGTTTTGATCAGAGAAAGGGAGTTGATTTTGATGAGATCTTCTCACCAGTTGTGAAGATGTCCTTCATTCGAACTGTGCTTGGTATAGCTGCGAGTATGAATTTAGAAGTTGAGCAGCTTGATGTGAAGACCGCATTTTTGCATGGTGACTTAGAAGAGGAAATTTATATGGAGCAACCTGAGGGCTTCAAAGATAAGGGTAATGATCAGTTAGTTTGCAAATTGAAGAAGAGCTTGTATGGATTGAAGCAAGCACCGAGGCAGTGGTACAGAAAATTCGATGCTTTCATGAGTGAGAATGGGTATTCAAGAACCACTTCAGACCATTGTGTGTTTGTGAAGAAATATAAAGATGATAATTTTATTATTCTCTTGCTTTACGTTGATGATATGCTTATTGTGGGTCAAGACACGAGTAAGATTAGCAAGTTGAAGTCAGAGTTGAGTAAGTCCTTTGCCATGAAGGATTTGGGTCCAGCAAAGCAAATTCTTGGGATGAGAATTGTTCGTGACAGATCACATGGGCTGATTTGGTTATCTCAAGAGAATTATATTAAAAAGGTTCTTGAGAGGTTCAATATGGACAAAGCAAAGCCTGTTAATTGTCCACTTGCAGGCCACTTCAAACTAAGCTCAAGTCAGTGTCCTACAAGTGATGAAAAGAAAAATGAGATGCAGAAAATTCCCTATGCTTCAGCAGTTGGTTTTTTGATGTACGCCATGGTTTGTACTCGACCGGATATTGCTCACGCAGTTGGGGTTGTCAGTCGATTTTTGTCTAATCCAGGGAAAGAACACTGGGCAGCAGTGAAATGGATTATGAGGTATCTTCAGGGCACTTCAAAGATGAGTTTGTGTTTTGGTAAAGGCAAGCCTATTCTTGATGGGTTCACAGATTCTGATATGGCTGGTGATGTTGATAGTCGAAAATCTACTTCTGGTTATTTGATTACTTTTGCAGGGGGAGCAGTGGCATGGCAATCAAGATTACAGAAATGCGTTGCTCTCTCCACCACAGAAGCTGAGTTCATCGCCATCACTGAAGCTTGCAAAGAATTATTGTGGTTGAAGGAATTCTTACAAGAGTTGGGTTTGAAACAAGAAAGGTATGTCCTTCATTGTGATAGTCAGAGTGCAATCCACTTGAGCAAGAATTCTTCATTTCATTCGAGATCGAAACATATTGATGTTAGATATCATTGGATTCGTGATGTCTTGAATGATAAGTTGTTACAACTTGAAAAATTCACACTGATGATAACACTTCGGATATGTTAACTAAGGCATTGACTAAGGACAAGCATGAGAAGTGTCGACTTTTGGCGGGAATGGTCGAATCCTCCACATAAGTCGGGAGGGGGAGAATTGTTGGGTTTCCCTCCTTTGTGGGACTCATCATTTGCTAATTTTTGGTGGCCTACCCGTGTAGGACTCTTATCCAAGACTTGGTTTGGAGTCTTCTTTCCTTTGCTACCACTAGAGAACCTTTGGAGAGCTTCCATTTTCCATTACTGAAATTGTTGATGTAGCCTTCATCATCTAACTTTCCAGCAGAGATTAAATTGAGTCGAATATCTGGTACATGCCTCACATCTCTAAGCAGCAATTTGCATCCAATATTGTTTCCAAGCAAATGTCACCCATGCCGACAATTTTTGACACATCTTCATTTCCCATAAAATTTCTGGGTGAAATATGGTAGAAGATCAATAGCATGTTGATGATGCCTAAGGTAACTGAGGTCAATTTAAAGTAACTGAGGTTAGCGCAAGAGCAAGAGTTCAGTTCAGACTGGAGGTTATTAACTGATGTCAGAAGACAAGGGCCGAAGGCCTCTTGAGGCAAGGCAACAGCTGAATAACCATGAGAGATTTCTAAAGTGTTAGAAAGCTATAATCAAGACACTTAATTTCAATCAACCAAGATTTTTTCCTAAAATTAAGGAGAATTCATGAAATAAGGGTCAGAATCTCGGCCAAGAACCCATTGAATAAGGAACAATCCTATAAAATACTATGTAATGCTCCTAAGGAGGGAAGAGGACTCTAGTATCACATATTACAGTCTGTAAATCTTTAGGTATAGTAAATAGTGAAAGAAGGAACAAAAATCTCCATTGAAGAGTGGATTAGTCGAGTTTCTGAGCTGGTGAATCACTATATTTTCACTGTGTACACCTTTTAATCTCCTGAATATTTTATCGTAGCATCATACATGAGCCTCGAAACTCTGATTCACGCTCATCTTACGTTACCTGCACATTAAGCTCATTCACGTTGAAATACGCTATCAGTTATCGTAGTATCATACATGAGTCTCGAAGCTCTGATCCACGCTCATCTCACGTTACTTGCACCTTAAACTCATCCACGTTGAAATACGCTATCACATGTAATTCAAATTTGTATTTTAAATAAAGAGGAATTATTGAATCCGTGGTCTTATTTACAAAAGTAGATAGAACCACTCATCCAATAGTCATTTCATTCGAATTGTAAATTTGGATTATATAAAATATTTTATGGTAGACAGTGTAGAAATTCTTGGGGTCTATGTGGTAAGTAATATTGAATATAAAGGTATATCTTTGAGGATTGTTATATAATATCATCGATTAATAATAAAATATTAAATAATTAAGATGAATTATACTTGGATATATATTGGTTTAAATAAAAAAAGAATGATTAATTATTGGCTTACATTGACTGATAGTGATTGGTTGTATGAGGCTTATTTTCTTATTTACATACTAGTTATTGTCTGTGTCTGGAGGCACAAAGTAATAAAAAATGATAAACAATAAACATATTTATTTTTATATTCAAAATTAAATCACAAATATAAAAAAGAGATAAATGAATTTAAGTATCAGTTGTAGAGGGGATGAGAGGTGATGGGCGACAATGGTGGTGATTGGAGACGATAATGGTTGTGGTGGGTAGCAATGATCGTGGTAGCGATG